AACAACTCGGCGAGTCGGATGAGGTTGCCCCAAATTATGTATGCGCGGGTAATTGTCGAGTTGCAAGAAGGAAGCTCGACGAGTGGCCTTAGGGTCTCGATCGTAAACCAAAGGAACTCGACGAGTCACTCAGGTGACTCGGCGAGTGGGTTAGTACTTCAAGGAACTCGGCGAGTAGTCGGGGGTACTCGGCGAGTCAAGGTCAACATGGACTGTTGACCTTGACTGATGACTTTGACTTTGACCAGGGTTTGATTAGTTGGCTTATAGGTATGATTATACTATGGTAATAGGTGGTGGAGTTTGTGGCAGTGATCCGAAGGTTGAAGTTTATCTACCGAGTCGACATCTGCAAGGTGAGTTATCCTCACTATATCGATATGGTCTAAGGCACCAAGGCAGGCCCTTTAGTTGTTATCGTTATGGTATGCTACATGTGGATATGATCTGTTAGATCAGAATCAGGATAGACAATATGTTATGCTCTTATGATCCGTAGGGATTGATATGTTAGTGACCTGCTAGGTCAGTGCTCTAGTTATGAGAGATAGCTATGTTTGGTAATCAGTGAGATAGATATGTTCGATGTTTGTATATGCCAATAAATGGTAGTTATGCGCACAAGGTTATTTGCTTGTTGCTTGGGTTGAGGCGGTCCTGCTTTGTGCTGAAGGCCAACACACCCTATGAGCGGTCCGGGAAGACTGTAGGCCCACGTGGCGGTCCAGTCATGCCGAAGGCTCGGTATAGATTCAGTTGGACTGTAGGCCCTGTAGGGCGGTCCAGTCAGGCCGATGGCCCAGTATGCATGTTGATTGATTGATTATTACGGATATGGTATTATCAGTGTGGTATTGGTATTTTGGGGGTAGCTCACTAAGCCCTCGGGCTTACAGTTTTCAGTTTATTGTTTCAGGTACTACAGGAGTTCATGGCAAGGCGAAGGCGTGACCGTACCGCTCCTCATCCTTATGATCTGGCTTTTGGGACACTCTGATTGAATAATGAATTGAAAACATTTTTGTAAACAATACTATTGGGTTTTATTTATGCTTGAAAAGTTTAAATTTGGCGTAAAATTTTTGGATGTTACACTACGACTTTTATTTAGATCACCAAGGCTAAAAAGTAGTTTATCAAAAACTCACTTTTTACGTCATTCGGCGCCGTACCGGTTTTATTGTGCATCTTCAATTGGTCATAACTTCTTTGTTATAACTCAGATTTCGATGAGGTTTTCGCCTAAATGTTTCTAATGAAATTATCTACCACTTTCAATAATAAAATTTTACTTATTTCAAATTTTATATTTTCGTTAAATTTCGATATTTATCTTTTGATTGAAATCTCATAAGACTTCTAATATTTTTCCGATTGATTCTAAACATAGTTTTACTTCATTTCTAGTAAAAAACCATCTGTTAGAACTCAATACTCCAATTTCATATAATATTTCATAATATTATTTACTTTTAAAATTACATAACATGATAACTGAACGTGTATGTTACAATAAGCGCAAAACCTTCAAAATGAAAGTAGGTTTTCTTAAGGATTTATTACGGGTTGATGGAGGTTGAGAAATGAAAAACTCAAGTGTTAATGGCCTTTAAATACCCCAAAACCCTAAAAACATGATCAACCCATGGGTCGGAGGCGCATCACGCCTTTTAAAGGGCGCCCCGCATCCCATGCGATAAATTCTAATATTTCAAATTTCTAGCAATTAGGATTTATGGCCTCCTGCTTCATCCCATCCTCTACTTTCCTTTAGACTATAAAACCCCCAATTAAAGAATGAAAAAACATCATCAGAAATAGGGTGTTACAAACCTAATGTAACTAATTATTTTCAAATAAGTTATTGAAGATTAACTGAAAGATTGCAATAAGAAAGCAAGTTTAGCGAAAACGTTCTCCGTCCCTCGTAGGTTCGAAGAGATGTAAACGTGTAACACATGTTATGATGCAAGTAATAAGTCACAAACGTCATTTTTTATTGGGTAAAATTCCTAAAACAATTATGAATACCATAATTCTTATTTTGAAATTCCTAAAATAATTACGAATTTCCATAATTCTTATTCACAATCCTTAAAAAGAGTTTAATCCAAGTTGCCAATTTAAATTAAGCACAAGAGTTTAATGGAAAGACCAAACATATATTAGTAAACCCAAACCAAAATTAAATAATCATCCATGAAAGATCACATAAACTAAGTATAAAATCAACTTAAAGTCAGAAAGTGAGGTTTTAGCCTCTCTTGATGACTAATATGATTAAAAAACATAGAGAAATAACATAAAAATATCTTTAATCCAATACTACAAATCAAATATACGAAAACGAATATATAATCTATGTGTTGTCTTTTGCACTTCTGTCGGAAATCCAGTGTGTTTGTTCTCCAAGTCATTCAAAGTTGTTATAGGTCGTGGATAAGGATCCTGTAAATGAAAGTCAAAATTTACACAACTCGGTCGGGGGCATGGTCTTCGGTGCAAATTTAAATGATCAAGTTAGCAATCAGGCGGGCCAAAATGGCTTGTGGTTGAGACCGGTTGGATTCTACCCAATGTTTTAAAAACCGGTTTTTTAGTTGAACCGGTATGGTGACCGGTTTTCGGTTCAACCGGTTTAACCGGTTCGACCGCTGACTAAACCGGTTTCTATAATTTTCATATTTTTTGTATTTTCCTATACATACATACATACATACACAAATCAAGAATTTGATGTTTACAAGTTCAAACATTAAAATACACATGAAAACAAGTTGTAGATCAATCTAAATACATTAAAATAACTCATAACCATAAGTTTTACATCAATCCACGTGCATTAAAAAGAAAATAAAGTTCTAGATGAATATAAACGCATCAAAAAACTTCATAGCATTTATCATGAGCTTTTATTCAGAAAAATTATAATAAATGTGAAAAAACTACCAAAATTTATTATGCAAAAGGTTTCAATTTCATGTGTTTTTATTCAATTTAACCGGTTCAACCGGATTTTTATAAAACCGGTCGGTTCGATCCTGTTCAGAAATAGACATAAAACCGGTGATAGTTGAACCGCTTCCTTTCCTGGTTCCCGGACCAACTGGTTCGACCGGCTGGTTCAAACCGGTTTTTAAAACATTGATTCTACCAAACTCCTCAATTCTATTTTGGTTTTTCACATGACTCGGGCACGTTTATATGGTCATGAGTTAGGCCCAAGTGGGTTTGGCACAGTCTTCAAATCTGCATCTTCCTTCAGCCCGGACGGGCCTGAATTCTTTCATGTTCACCAAATTTCCAACTTTTTCGTCTACCATCTATTTAACATTTGCTCTTTACTCCTCCTTTAAGCCTCCAAGCCATTCCAAACTTTAAAAAACAATCTAAAAGTACACCAAAAACCTTAAAATGCTAAAAGTGTAAAATATACAAAATAGGCTATATAAATGCATGAAATGGTAATGAAAAGGACTATGGAATGCATGAAAGATGGCATAAATATGTGGGTTAATGACCTAAAAAGGTAATGAACTTTGGTATTTGTCCACATTTATGTAACCATGTTTTTTTCGTTTGCATTTGACCATTGAACTTGTTTGACTTGTTCAAAATAGGGTAATATGCCTGGTAATTACGGTAATATTACTCTATTATGAACAGGTCAAACAATTTTATTGGTCAAATGTATACGAAAAAAAACATGGTTATCTAAATATGGACAAAAACCAAAGTTTCTTACCCGTTTTGGTAAAATTGGACAAAAACCGTCTCAGGGACTATGCCCTTGGACACACCAAACAAGTTTAATGGTAAATCACATACAACAAAAAGACCTTCGGTAACTAAAAATATATTCGACGCAAAATTTATTGCCCTTACAAGTCATTATTCAAAGTTTTTAATTCTATAGATAATTTAAAGAGTATATGTATCACATGTTTTTAAAAAATATCATTTCACTAATCACTAGCATATATTTGTCAAAGTTTGGCAAGAAATTGACAATAAAGAGAACTGAAGTGAAAGTTCAATGAAATACAGCCGTAGGCTACTTATGAGCTTATCCTTCCATTGACGTTTTCTATTTTCTTTCGAAGTTTGAAGGTCGATTTTGTAATTGTTCAATACAAATAATTAATTATATTATACGATTACCAAAAAAATTGTATATCTTAAAAGTTTTATTGTCGATCGTGAAGAAATCGTTATGTTTATTAGTGATACAATACGTTTTATAAAAAAGTCTGTTAAAAAGGACTTTTTAACAGAGTTACCGTTTGATACAATGATGTTCAATCACGCGATCGAATGTCACCTTTTAGGCTTTAAAAAAGACTTTCATTTCATGTGGTTAGCAAGACTTTCTAAAGAATAAAAAAAGATAAAATGACGAGTAAAAATGAGGTACAAAGATATGTATATCCAACATCCATATAATCAAAATTTTATTCGGTCTCTTAAAAGCTATGATTTGAACAAACAGAACTTTGTAAAAGTTTTTGGAGTCACTTGCTCCAAAAGGTGGTTTTTTTATGTCAAATTCTAAAAATTTTGGTTGCCCAATTTTAGTTTCTGTGATTATTCTAACAATTTGTTTGTTAGTCAACGAAAGATGCCTAATTCATATGTATAGTTAATTATTTTTATTGATCTTCATATCTTCTTTATATATTGTCTATGTATCTAAGTTTCTATAATCAATCATTATCAATTGCAACATTTTCGTTTACTTAACATAAATGTATAATAACCCCTATCATGATTACTCCATTTTTGTCAAATTGTTTTAAATTCCCATGCCTTAAATTGACTACATTCATCATTAACCTGATTGAGATTGGAGAAAATAATATACTTGATATGACTGGGGAACATATGGAGATATCCAATTGAGAATCTCATACACACCAATAATCAATTCAAAAGAAAAAGCAACATTTTTTTTAAGTTGTCTGAAAACTGCAACTTTCTTTAATCAGAAAAGTTTTGAGTTACACCACGGTGATAAAAAAAAAAACAAACATATTGGAGAACAATTATTTTTTTACACCAAAATAAATCAAAATAGTTTAGTAGTACATAATGTTCTCTTCTGCCTTGAGTTCATCAACAAAGACATTGAGATTATTGTTAGTGTTACTGCTGCAAAGATTAGTGCTAATGAGCTTCTTGAACTCCTCAAGACTAAACTCCATAGTAGAATCCCCATAACACCCTCTTGCTTTTTCACAATAATTCCCATCAACTCCCATGTAGGAATTACTTGTCTTCAAGCCTCCCATGTTATTATGAGCATCAAACGCACCACTACCATACACATGATGCCACCTTCCATCAGAATTAGAACTGCAATCATCAGCAGCTTGAGCATCACCTTCAAGCATAAAAAGGGTAGAATTGTCTTTTACTCGGTAGGTTTCCATGTCCACATTTATGTATCCATGATCATCTGATGGTAGAACTGGATGATTATCAACAGTTGTAACCGAAGAGCTTGTTGGGTAGCTATAGTTTGAAGAAGGACAATTGACAGACTCAAGATGATGAAGCGGTTTCTCAGTTTGATGATTGGTGGAGATGAAATTCATAATCTTCTTCTTGAGCTTCGTGTTCCAGTAGTTCTTGATATCATTATCTGTTCTTCCTGGTAACTGTGCTGCTATTACTGACCACCTGTAGTTTCTCAACAATTGTCACACACACATACATACATATATGAGAGAGAGAGAGAGAGTATATGAGAGAGAGAGAGAGAACCTGCTACCGATGCTAGAAAAGAGAGTATAGATGAGTCTATCTTCATGGTCGGAGAATTCACCATGTTTGATGTCTGGTCTTAGGTAGTTCAACCATCTTAATCGGCAGCTTTTCCCACATCTTTTAAGACCTATTTAAGTTTTAACATCAAGATATTAAAGACCCAAGTATGAGGTTACAGAAAAAAGTAAGAAAACATGAAATCAAAGAGATAAAGACACCTGCTTTATGTGGAAGAGCAATCCAGTTGCCTCCGGTACCATTTTTGTGTATGTAGTCTTTCAACTTTGTATCTTCTTGAGGTGACCATGGCCCTTTCTTCACCTTTGACTTGTCACAACATGGAGCTCTTCCCATATCTGCTTGTCTGTGTGTGTGATGGAGGGGTGGGGAAAGTTGGATTGATGTGCTTAAGAAGAAGACTTGTGGGTGTATAGTAATTAATTGCTTTTATTCTAGAGTGTGAGAGAGAGAGAGAGGGGTCAAAGGACAGGAAATTATTTTATTGATCTTGAAAAATAATTACAACTATGTATAGTTGTATACTATTGTAGGGAGAACTTTCCATGCATATGTGTAAAATTCAAATTGGGGAGTGAGTTATTTCAACGCCACACTTTCTTTCTTTTGAATGGATAATTAGAATATTAAGTTCCAGTTTGAATACCAATATCAAATGGATCATTTGTACAAGTTAATTGGAAATTTTGAATTTGCCGACGAATATTTTAAACGGACTCCATGGAATTAATAGTCAAGTATGAAGTGTCCCAAAAATATTGATTATGTGATGTATGAGTTTAATTTGTAATTTGTAAATGAACTATGAAATATGCATTTGTAAGTTTTAGACCTGAAGGATACCTAATTACTTCTAATGAGTTTGTCACTACATATCAATATTAATTAGATAATTTAATTATCTAACACATGCATAGTTATTTATAGCGAGTTACACGCGTGTGTATTAATTGTTATGTCTACAACAAGCTAATAGTAGATATTCATCCATAGAATATGCTTTTCGGGTATGGCAAAGAAATCCAAGTCTATGTTATTTGTAACATAGCCTTTCTACTTGAGGCTTCTACTTTAATTTGTTTCTTCCCAAATTTATCTATAGTCCAAGTCCTTGTTCTATATTGGAATAGTGTTCATGTTTGGCCACTTTTGTTTGTTTGTTCTTTCATATTTCTAACTCCACATTATGCAAAGTAAAGTACACACACATAAACACACACACACACACACATATATATATATATATATATATATATATATATATATATATATATATATATATATATATATATATATATATATATAGAGAGAGAGAGAGAGAGACTCGTATATTACACGTGTTTAGAAGTTAGAAAATCAAAAACATTAATAAAGTAAGAAAATTTTAAAAAGGGAAATGGACTTAATAAGGTAATTAATTTTTCGGTTTGTTCACATCTGGGTAACTATCTTTTTTTTGTACACATTTAGGTAACGAACTTTTTGGAAGTGTTCACATATGACTATTATGACTGACTGTAGCAGGTTACATCCGGTCATAATGGTCATATGTGAACACTTCCAAAAAGTTTGTTAACTAGATGTGTACAAAAAAAAGATAGTTACCCAGATTTGAACAAACCGAAAAGGTAAGAGTAAATTACACGAATGGTCCCTAACTTATTTTTTAACGTGGATGATCTTTACTGTTTATTTTTGTTGTGCGTTTGGTCACTGTCTTACCTCAAAAGACTATTGTGCACTTTTTTAATTTATTTTTTAATTAATTTTATTATTTATGTATTTATTTTTTATATATTTTAAAAAATTAATAGACCCCATATAATTGTATCTACTCACCGTAAACCTAAAACCACATTCGAGAAATTTAAGCTCAGTCCCACCAATCACCATCCCATCTCTCATCCTCCTCAACTTCTTTTTCCTTTTCATATTTAATGACATCAACGTCTTCACTATCCCTTCTTTTTTCGGTCCTTCAACTCCGGCGAACCAACACCACAACCCTTATATTGGGTTATGGTGGTGGAAAATTCAATGAAGAGACAGTGGGTTGTGGGGTTGGTTCGTCGTAGTTGAAAGACCGAAAAAATAAGGGATGATGAAGACGTCAATATCACTAAAGATGGAAAGGAAATAGAAGTTGAGGATGATGAGAGATGGGATGGTGACCAGTGGGACCCAACTTAAAATTCTCAAATGTGGTTTCAGGTTTAGGGTGAGGAGATGCAGGTATGTGGGGTCTATTAATTTTTTTAAATATATAAAAAATAAATACATAAATAAGAAAAAAAATAAAAAGGGCACAATAGCCTTTTGAGGTAAGACATGGACCAAACGCACAACAAAAATAAACAGTATGGATCATCCGAGTTAGAAAATAAGTTAGGGACCAAACACACAAATTACCGAAACCACAGGGACCATTCGTGTAATTTACTCTTACATTTTCGGTGTATTCACATCTGGGTAACAATCTTTTTATTTTACACATCTAGGTAACGAACTTTTTGGAAGTGTTCACATATGACCATTATGACCAGTTATGACCGAATGTAACCTACTACAGCCGGTCATAATGGTCATATGTGAACAATTCCAAAAAGTTCGTTACCTAGATGTGTACAAGAAAAAAATAGTTACCTAGATGTGAACAAACCGAAAAGTTAATTACCTTATTAAGTCCATTTCCCTTTTAAAAATTCAATACTAAAATATGATGAAATATAGAAAATATGAAAGTTTGTGAAAGTATAATGATGAATAAGTATGATGTATGACTTTCAATGTATAATGATATTGTACCTTATTAAATGAGACTTTAAAAGTACAATGCTAACTTAATACAAATTTGAAGTATAATGTTGGAATAAGTTTTATTTTATAAATAGAATGATGTATTCAAATATTTAATAAGGAAAATATTTGATACTTAATAATGAAAACTAAGGAAGGATAATAAATATTTTCATATAATATATAACTGATATTACAAATACATAAGTACACTAGAATTAAAAACAATTGTTTTCAAAATTGAACAAAAAAAAGTCATAAATATGCAAATACTTCTTTGCATGCAACATTTGATGTTGTATTAGTAAGTTTGTAGTATTTATCTAAAATTAAAAGTTTAAGTCTTTCTCTTCTTTTAATTCTAAAATTTTCAATTTTTATTTTATTATCTTAACTGTTGACTCAACAATGAAGAAATATGAAATCATTCAATAGCATTTATATATATTATTAAGACAAAACTGTAAATTTGGTCCTTGTGGTTTGTAAAAAAATTTGGATAGGGTCCAAAAAGTTTTCGACTTGCATGGAAGGTCCAAAATCAAAACTTTTCCGTGAATTTGGTCCCAAAATTAGAAGATTCCCGTGGTTTTGGTCCTTGGAAGACCTGAAATGACGGTTTTGTCCTTCTAATTTCTTTTTTACATTATTTTTACCATTTATAATGTTTTTATAATTACAAAATAAAAAGAAATTAAAAAAAAATATACACCCCACCATACCGTCTCTCTCTCACACACACTCTCTCCCCTCTCTCTCTCTCTCTCTCTCTACTCATTCTTTTCTTCTTCTTCTTCTTCTTCTTCTTTAATACCTGCAACAAAACACAAATCCACTTGAATATTGAGTGTAAGCTTCATTGCAGCCCACTATTCCTCTCTCCTATTTTCTTTATCGAAAAACCCAAACAAAAAAAAGACCCAACGGGGACTGCCACCTCTAACCTACAACTGGATCAAAAACACCCACCATTACATATTCAAAATCAATCTCCAAATGTTCCAGGGACATCGGTTTTACGTTTCCTTCAAACAAATCAAGCTGTCAAAAAACCAACAAAAACTTACCTTAAAAGCTTCAATCCATAGGTTTTGCATTCATCAATGTAATCCTACAGAAACCCAACTTAGTTTAACATCAATCGATTCAATCATGCTTACATCTACACACCACAGTCAGGGATTCCACCTGATAAAAATTCATAAAAGCTCATAGGTTTTCAGAATATGCATCATGAAGTGGGTGATTCCAATTTTTGTAAAATTCAATCATCTGTTCTTCATCAGTAATATGCATAAAGAAAACTCCCAATTCCTCATTAATAAACACGAATTGCTCAAATTGAACAAAAATTGCAGCAATTGAAACTCACAAAGTCTTTGAGATAATGAATGGATCCTAGAAAATCTCTTCACCAGAAAATCTACACCCACCCACATAATAATAAACACCAATTGTAGAAATTGAAAATCAAAATTCTAAGCTAACCTAGAAATTTTCAGAAAACACAAAATCAAATCTAAAATGGAACCTTAGAAGATTTCGATGGCTGGGGGAAAGATATTAGTAGGCTGTCACAAGTTAACACGTTTCAAGCTGTCGAAATTGCTATCGGATTCACCGTTGTCGTATCGAGGTTTTGATCTAGATGGCAGGCTTCAAGCTCTAAAACTTAAACCCATTGGCTCGAGAAGAAGAAGGGGGAATGGAGGCAGTGTGAGGTAAGAAACTTACCGGCGAGAAGGGTCGACGACTATCGTCGGGCATCTTGACGGGAAAGGAAGGTGATAGCTATGGAAACGAAATGATCATGGAAGTCTTTTTGATGAGAGAGAGAGAGAGAAATATGTGGGGTGGGTATTGTGTGGTCAAATGGCCATGCCCGTTTCTTTTTTTCCTTTTATATTAAAACAATCAAAATAAACAAAGAAAATGTAAAAAAGAAATAATAAGGGCAAAATTGTCTTTTCATATTTATTTGGACCAAATTCACGGAAAAGTCTTGATTTTGGACCTCCTATGCAAGTCGAAAACTTTTTGGACCCTATCCAAAGTTTTTTGCAAACCACAAGGACTAAATTTGCAGTTTTGTCTATTATTAAAATAGATGTAAGATGTAACTGATGTGAAAACAACATAAATTTAAAAGAAAAACAAGAGTAAATTACACGCATGGTCCCTATGGTTTGGGATAATTTGCATATTTGGTCTCTAACTTATTTTTTAACTCGGAAAGTCCCTAATGTTTGTTTTTGTTACGCGTTTGGTCCATCCTGTTTGTTTTTGTTACGCACTTGGTCCTTGTCTTACCTAAAAAGACTATTATTTAAATACGAAAAAATAATAGGATAAGTAAGGTAAGGTGAGAGAGGTGGGGTTGTGGGTGTATTTATTTAAATAAATTAAAAAATCAAAGGTCAAATAGTTTGTTTAGGTAAGACCGGGACCAAACACGTAACAAAAACAAAAAGTAGGGACCTTCCGAGTTAAAAAAATAAGTTAGGGATCAAACGCGCAAATTACCTTAAACCATAGGGACCATTTGTGTAATTTACTCAATGTAATATTCTAGACAAAACTTATTACAAATTTACACTTTTAATGGCAGAAAAAAACATTTTAAGTTTCTTTTCATTGTATCTTTCAGTAAATTTTTGAAGCAATGAAAGTGAGTTTTG